TTAGTCAAGTAATGATTAAAATTTTTAAGTGAAAATAATCACTTCTATTGTATATAAAGTATGAAGCAATTGAAATATAACATGTTTACAATTTTATAGGGTGATACCGGAAGTCTAATGATAAATAAATACTATCATTGGTATCATTGGTATGTAATAGATTCACATGATTTGTATATTTAGATTCAGTACCATTTGGATTCAGTTCCAATCGCTTTCAATGATGTGACTAATGCATTTAATAATTTTTTTAATATATGTTCTATATATATATATATATATATATATATATATATATATATATATATATATATATATATATATATATATAATTAAAAAGAAACCATTATTATTAAATATTGAATATATCAAATAAATATATATTATGATGTTAATGGTATATGTAGACCAAATAAAATCATGTATGCTTATTTAATTAAAGACATGTAGACTGCGTATTCGTATCTCAGATTTTAGCACCTTACAATATGAGCCAATTATATTAAAATTGTAAACTGAATATTGGAATTAAATGTACAAACTTAAGTTCTTTAACAGTAAATGGTATATTCAACTAAGCTATTTCTTATGTCAAATGCATTTTTTTATAACGAATTCATTAGAACTTATAAAAAATATTGAATATTTTTGTGTTAGTATTACTATTTGGTACGAAGTTCTAAAATTATCAATTATGATTAATTAACAAAATTAAATTATCAAAAATCAATGCCATCGAACAATAAGCTTTTCTTATGTATATATTGTATATAATTCATTTGAAATCACTTCCGATAGTTTGTATAGTATAGTATTTCGAGTGAGAAGATTAATATTGAAAAAGCTTAACAAAGTAAAAAATGCGAATGAATTAAAAAAAATAGTAAATATAATAAATATATTTCAATAATAATAATAATAACAATAATAACAACATTATTCATAGGTAGGAATAATAGTAATATACCCAAGGTATTGTTAAATAAAATATTAATTATTTTAGAAAATATCTAATACTACTTGCTAGAGTCGAAGCTAAAATTAAACTAAGATTATTTGATAGTCGCGAACTATCAAAGTTCCTGTGTTGCGTAGATGGAATTCGTGCCAAGTTAAGCCGTTTCAATGTCATTTCTAAAGCCCTGAATGGACCTAAATTTCTAGAGAGCAAGATCTTTAAAAAAAAAGTCTAAATTAGTCTTTTAACTTTAATTTAATCGATTTCAAAATAAAGTAAAACTTTCAACTAAAGGTATTTATGATGGCGATGTTAGTATGCTTAGCGGCTGGGGATCAACGACTTATCTATCAACCATTTATCCGACAGATTACAAAGCACCTGGATGATTATCTATGAAAAATATCATTGTCGGAGTTTCCATCCAATTACTATTTATATCGATCAATTTTGTGGATATCGTAAACCAGGAATAGGACCATGCATTGTACGTTTTATAAGTCATTACTATATTATTTAATATATAGGATAGAGTTCGAATACATTAAATTTTTTATGCTGAAACTTTTAAATCACATAACATTAAAATATCAACTATGCTTATCAATTATACGGATGTATATACATATATATATATATATATATATATATCATTAATAATATAAAAATTATTAATTAATATAAAAATAATCAAATATTCAATATTTTATAGGGCGAGAGTAGTAGTCCATTAGTTCGTAAGGATAGAATTATTGGTATAGCTTCAGTTACCACCCCATGCGCTGTAGGTGTACCTGATGTATATACTAAAGTTTATTCACACCATGATTTTATTACAACTGGTATGGAGTTCCATTGATTGAGTATTTATTCATATGAATTATACAAAATACAAGACAATTGATTCAAAATATTTTTACTGATTTGCATCAACGGTAACAAGTTATTATTGAATATATATATTAAATAATTACATCTTAAAAATTATATTTTATATTTAAATATTTAACATGTTTTTATAAGGACTTTCTTTTATTGAATATAAGCGTATTTATTAGTAAAATAAATCTATTTAACATTTTTTAATTTACTTCATTAAATTTTTGTTATTTATGTCTGTTTTATTCACACGTTAATTCCTATTAAAATTGTAATTTTAATAAACGATAAATTGTTATGTTAAATTTATTTAATTATAATATAATATATATATATATATACAGAAAACAATAAAAATAATAAAAACAATATTTTAGTTTTATAAAATAGAATTCTTTATGAATAGAAATAAATAAACTAACCTGTATAGTCGTCGGTGATAGATCTTTAAAGTGTATATAACTCTAATGGACTAAATTTATATTATTTATAATATTTTAAATTTTTTTATTTATACTTATTTGTTTTCCACTTTACTCTAAGATTAATTCTTCTCTAAATGATAAAATGGTTAATTTAAGACAAATATCATCGTTTGAAACTTTACTTAAATTAAATACTAAATTAAATAAATACTAAATTAGTAATTAATAGGTTCATCAAATGTAAGATACAAAGTACTTTTTATAGAATAATTAATATTTTTCCAAATCATTTATATTAAATATTGCTTTTTATTGACTTTATATTAAATATACTAAATTTATGATCATTAGTAAAATGATCAAGATATGAATCTAGAGTTGATTAATCTTAAATACATTTATAATTTACTACATTATTAAGAAAAATAGATCATACTCTGCTATTTAATATTTATATTTTAATTGTTCTTAATATATTAATTATTTCTTAAGATTAAACACATTTAGTTTAATTACATAAATAATTAAATTTTTTTTAAATTGATTGAACTATTATAATACAAGTTTGGTTTCATAAATAAAAGGTATGTCACAAAATAAAATAATATTTATAAATTAAAAATGTAATTGTCATTAAATACAATATGCCTAGATTATAAACAAACTAATGTGAAGACAATTTTTAATCCAATACTGACGATATAAAATAATCTATTCTATCTGACATTATTATACATCAATATTAAGAATTTACATGTATATCATAAAATACGAATTTTAAAAGTGGTTAAAACCGTAACATTTATGCCATACATATGCAACTGCTGAAAGAAAAAAAAATTTCCTACATTATTTTATATCGTATAATTATAAATAATAATTGTGTATAATGATTATAAAACAACCTTATAGATGAACAACTAACTTTTTTCTGCTAAATTATACTTACATTTGTAAAGTATCTCAGTTCAAATTGTATTATTTAATATGCTTTACTAATATATTAGTTATTAATAAAGAACTAATAAGTGAAATATTTTAATTTTTATAATTTTTTCTGAAATATTTTTACTTATCAAAGGCATTATTTTAAAGAATTGTATAAATAAAATAATTTGTATTATAATCATTAGTATTTTAAAATCCAACATTTTAGAAACGTGTATTATTAAAAGAACGAATTAATTTACCCAATTAAATATGTTTTTGACAGGTATTTGTAGAATATATTTATTAACTTTCACTTATTGAAAAATAGATACGAAATGTTTTATTGTAATATTAATATTCTATTCATAATTCCTTATTTATTTCTTACACATTTTTATTATATTTTTAAGAAAGACAGCAAATAATAAGAAAATATTTAAAATTAATATTTCAGGTTTAGTATGTATATTTTTGGAATTCCATAATCAATAATAAAAGTTTAATATTCAGAAAAAGCTAATCTAAATTTTCGTATACACTACAAGAAATATAAATATTCAAATTTATTATTTGAATAATTCATCATTTATAAATATTAAAAAGAGACTTTATCTGAATTTCAAATATTATTAATATGATCAATGAATATCATGTGTTACGTCACAAATCAATCTGATATTTCTGCTATATAAAGCGATTATATATTTTTCTTTCGACTTCTTACTGAAACTCTTGGATGATTGTAATGTCTTTTGCAATTATAATTTATTTGTATTTAGTGACCAGTCTCGGTAAGTGAAATATTCTTTATTTCGTTTTTATTTCATATGAAATATTTACAAGAATTCACATCAAAATTTAAATTCTTTTTCACGTAAAAGAGTTGATTACACAATGCATAATGAACGTGGAATACTATTAATATTCAAATTTTGAGGGCAAACATACATTATCTAAAGAGAATATAAATTTATTACAAAGATGAATACGAAAAATGTCACAAGAACTATTATTTAAATAACAACGAATATTATGTGCCTACTATATAATATTTAATATATCGTTAATCGATATTTTATAATTCTAATATTTTAAATAACATTGAGCTGAAACTATTACAAAAGAACAAAAATATTTTTTCTAGAACGTATATTTTAAATATATGAAATTAGTGTAACTTACAATACTATTATTGATTTTACAAAATAATCAAATGATATCATTTGATATGTGAATATAATTATTCATATATCAAATTATATGTAAATTTCATTATATTTACACGTGAAAGAACATTAATACATTGAAAATGTATTAAAAATCAAAGAAATATATTAAATGAAAATTTTTATTGAACAGAATATATATGATCTTAAGATCTTTAATAAATTATTAGAAACTAGAAAATTTAAATGTCCAATTGCGTAAGTAAAACTGTACTCATTTGTTTGAGACGTTCTTTTTTCTTTTTTTTTCTTTTTCAAGCAATTAGTATTGAAAAATTTTTTTATAATACACCTATTTATTAAAATGTACTTAAATTTAGTTTCAAGAATTTTTTTATATCTATTTTTAAATCTATAGATAATTTTATTATGTTTTTCATCATTGGAAATCTTTAAGTGACGTCGAGTATAAATCCAAGGATCATCGGTGGTGAAAATGCCAATATCGAGGAATTTCCGTATTTGGTATCACTACGGCGGAAGTCTGATAATCAACACATATGTGGAGGTGCAATAATTAGCGATCGTTGCATCCTTACAGCGGCTCACTGCTTTCATCAACAATATCTAACGCTAAGGAATATGAAGATATTAACTGGAACTACGTATTTAATAAATGAACCGCGTTCAATGCATCTAGCTGGACAAATAATCATTCATCCTAAATTTACAGGAATGACAGAAGAGACACGATATTCTTATGATATCGCAGTTGTGGTGGTAAGGTGTTGTTACACTCTTAAGAGCTATTTTATCTACAGTTTTAAACTAAAAAAGATAAATCTTAGTTTGATAAGATAATACATAAATATTAAAGAATAAATTAACATATAGGAACTAAAATATTACTCTTATCAAGTCAAATTATTATTTTTATTAAAATGATAATCATAGTGTACTTTCAAACAATTATTTATAAAAGCAATGCTTACTGTACTATAAAAGCAATACTAATATATACTGATAAATAATAGCGTAAAAAATATTAACTTGTCTAAAAATTATTAATAAAGCGATTATTGACACTGTATTTACTTATAGTTGTAAACAATAAATTTATAATTATTGTTAAAATAAATCTATCTACTTTCTAACGTTTTCATTAATTAAAGCAAAATTATGCTTTTAGGTTGAAGGGGTCATTAAATTAAACGATTTGCAAAATATAGTAAAACTACCATCTAAAAACATTCGTCATGGTGATATAGGCATGCTCGCTGGTTGGGGATATACAATTTATCCTTCGAGTACTTCTTCAAATAGACTTCAAAAAGTAGAAATGAATGTCTACGACACTTATCAATGCAGAATACTTGTACCGTTTAATTTAAAGATTGATCAATTTTGTGGATATAAACGAATGGGAATTGGTGCATGTATCGTAAGTTTTAATAAATTTAAAGTCGTGTCTTATTTCCTTGCTTCTTCTTCTTACTTTCATAACTATTTTCTTTTACTTATTATTTATCTCATTTTTAAACGTGTAATTTTTAAATAGATTCCTCAAATTTCTTGAAGATTCGTGTTAACGATGCTTTTACACTAATAATTGAATATTCGTCATGTCCTATAATTTTACCGAAATATCCAACAATTTACATAATCATAATTTTATATAGGGTGATAGTGGAGGTCCATTGGTCGTTGACAACGTAGTCATTGGCATATCTTCACTAACTATTCCATGTGCCCAGGGTGTACCTGATGTATATACTAATGTTAAATATCATACTGATTTCATCACTGCTGCATTACAAATATAACGTATAATATATATTCATTATAGTTATAAAATTATAGTTAATTATAGTTATAAAATTATAGTTAATTATAGTTATAAAATTATAGTTAATTATAGTTATGAAAATTACACAAGTCAATTAATGTTAAAATCATTAAATTAATTTGTAAAATATTATACAATTTGTAAAAAATATATATAATTATTAAAAAAATCAAATATTAATAATTTAAATTATGATAATCGTAATTATAAAGATTTGGAATTGCTTTATACTTTAATTAATGTCCCATTCAAGGAAGATTAGTGAAGTATTTTCTATGTTCTATTATCCATGAAAATCTACAATTAATTTGTGTATAACAATATAATAATAACCAATACAAGTTTCATATTTCGTACAAATATGGAATAACCCATTTTTTTTCAGGCTTCGTTATATATCATATTGGAATATAAGTTTATTACTATAGTATAGTATTACTATTTTAAAAATATACATCGTACATTTCTTATATATAGAAAAATATAAGAAATTCTATACCACGGTGTGACAAGATATGCAATTATGGACATTTTTACAGATTTTTTCGCGTACTAAAATTAGAAAATTCTATTTATAGAAAATTTATAGAAATTTTATGACGAAATGAAACAATGGTGACAAAAATAACAATATTTTTTAAATGCTTAAATTTAAGAATTATTTTATATTTAAAGAAAAAATGGGTTTACGAAATATGTTAATATAAATTGAGATGAATATATAATTTTTATCTTATTCAATTTAGCGAATTTAACGTATTCGTTATGTACAAATAAAAAAAGTATAGATTTATTCTTAACGTTGTAAAGTCATTATTTCCTTTAACAGAAAATAACCTCTATAATATCTACATTATTATCTATTTACAATTGATCTATAATGTAATTTCCTTTAGAACTTTCTCAAAACTGACGATTGATATAATTAACCACAATCATACTATTTGATAATATTTGTATAAAATGAATAAGAAACATGAGGATTAAACTCTATAGTTATATCGGATTTTATCTTGTTTCCAAGTATCCTTGTGAATAGTAGAAAAAATAGTCAAATGACAAGAAAATATATTATTTCAAATCGCTAGAATAGTTGAAGTAAGAAATCAAACTTATCTCAGCTAGAATTTAAAAATATATTTCAATAATATATGTGATTTTAATATATTCAGTAAAAATGATCTTATTTATTTCTGTATTTTTCTATTATTCTATTAAATTTTATATGTTGAATGTACATTGAAGAATGAAATATATTAAACTTCTTTTATAATCTGTATTTCTATAAATTTATTTAAGCAATTTTACAGTATATTATAATAAATGTGAAATAATTTAAATAATATATAATATATAAATAAACCAGTAGTGATTTAATGATTACAGTAATTTGATTATTATAATTACAAGAATTAATTATTTTTAAATTTATTTGTGGATGATTTTACAATTTCATTATCAACAAATAATGATTTGTATTTATAAAAAACTTAAGAATAATTACTTTAGAGTATTAAAAACATTATTTCCTTATCATATCATATTCTCACATTACTTTTATAATTTAAATTTTAGAGAAAACATTTATACAATAGTTTTCAAAATAATAAGTTAATATTGATTTTTTAAATTTTAAATATATTTCAATAAATATTTTTTATTATTAGCTATATTAATTGTATATTATATTATATTTTACAGTGATATAATGTCGATAAAATAATAATATAACAATAATAATAATATTTATAAGTATCATAAATAAAATATTATATGCAATTTTATTGATACAATTTCTACACAATAATATTATAATTTATAATAAATAATATAATTGTCTATATATAAAAATCCTTATTATTAATAACTAAACTAATAATTATCCACTAATATTTACACTAATCTACAATATTTCATTAAAATAAATCTTTCGGTAACAGAAATAATAATGGAACATTAAATATTTATGATATATTTATTTTTAATAATGACGCAAAAAGAGTAATACCCAAAATTATATGATTTTTATAATGATTAACGAGAGAAAATAATTCAATATAAATATTAGTACATTTTTCATGATATCAAGAAAATAATAGTAGAATAATTTTATTAATTTTTTTTCATTTGTAATTTACAAAAAAAATCTTTGCTAAACTTATTGTATATGAAAGAATACTCTGAAAATTATATAAAATAATAAAATATATTAACGACAACTTTATATTTAACTTTTGTCATTTTATAAAATATAAAAATAAACCACGTACCATCACTTATTCTGAATCCAAAATGTTGTTACGAAGACAGTCAGAAGAAAAGTATCGGTTACAATCTCTAATAAGTTTAATTCCAAGTACATCGCATTATTTACTAGAAAAGCAGCAACTCAGTCAAAGGATTGATTCTGAAAATACATTGATCCACTAGTTACTTACTTGATCTATAGAAAGAATGAGAATACGTCATAATTATCGCAACAGCATAAGCTCGTCGGTAGACAGCATACTTATTTATATTGTTTCCCCAATAAGTTTAAATTGCCTAAATATTATTAAAAAAGTAAATTATTAGTTTATGTCTATAATTTTTAATAATATTTAGTATTACATTTAGACTATTCAGATAAAAATTATTTATTTCTAATTGTAGTAGATAATTATTAATTTTTTATAATATCATTTATTGGATATTATAAAGAATTTTAGATCATGTTCATCGTTGATTATATAATTTACTCAAATATTTTTGATATTTGAAATATTAATTAACATAAATTTATTCAAGAATCTACTATATTTAATTTTTCAACAATATTAATCAATTGCCTAAATATTTTTAATATATTTATAATTATTATACTATCATTTATGAATATTATTCTATATTATCTTGAATTTAATAAGTAATTTAATTGCTCATTTAAGACTTATAACTACTTAATACGTGTATATTATCGATCAAATCAATGTATACAAATCAATCTGTTACATCTATGAATGTCCATAAAAATCGCTCATATTGATGTCGCCTGTCTTGTTCAGTATAGACTTATTATCCTCGTTTAAAAAGATGAATCATTGATAACATGTCAATGCAGTAATAACCTCTGAGTACTATTATTATAGCGACTTTGTACTTGTTATTTTTCTTTCTTTTCTTGAATGATATATATGATATTCGAATGCCATTGGCATTCTTCTCTTATGGAATATGTATGATGGAAAGCAGAAGATATCTATAAAAATATTCTAGGTTAAATACTTATCTCAAAAAGTACTGATAAATTGTTCATTTATGCAGATATTATTGTCTGTTATATTTTTAATGCGATGTCATTAAAAAAAACCACTAATTGTCTTTATTCACATTAAGATACAATCCTTGTATAGCATAATCGAATATGATTAATATTAAATTAAATTGTATGATAATAATCGAGTAACATATTTTAAATATTAGATAGTAAAGTATTTGTTAATCGCATAAATTAGATAAATCCATAAGGTATCAATTAAGGTTCGATGACGAATGACGAATTTCATTCGATAAGCGATCCATCAAATATAAAAATTTTATCAATTATTATTGTTAACATATGGTATCTTTTCTTTAATTATAACTAACAGCAAAAGCTTCTTCACAATGATTTTTATCAGAGTATGAATAGTCAGTAGTAAGACTATAGTGTACTATATATTACTGTACGAAATAAATAAATAAGTATATTAATATATCGCGTATAAGAATTATGATAATAAAAAAATATATATAAATTTTATAATATTTATATTAGCTGATAAAAAAATGTATTGCGAGAAAACAAAAAAAAAACAATAAAAGTTGCATTTGCGTATATGAATATATGTGGCTGAACATTTAAATAGGATATTTTAGTTTTTTATATATAAACAATTCAAGAATACAAATAAAAACTATAGCACACATTCCTAATCTTTTAAAAAATTGTAAAATATTAAATAAAACATAGCATTATTGGTTTAAGTATACATAATATACTTTTATAATTATTAAAAATTTTATTTCAATGTTTACATATAGTTTTAATTAATAAAGTTTTACTAGTGATTATTTATCGGTAATAACTGTTAAGGTTACATTTATTCAATTTTCATATAAAATTGTAAAAATCTAAAGTCAGAGTTTAAAGAATGAAAGATTAACAATTACATTTGTACATATCCTAAGATTTTGTGAATAAAATTAAATGCAAGTTTGTAGTGATAAGTTAATGGTAAGTAAAATTTATATTTAACTTCTATTTAGTAATATATTTTATCTAATCAATAAGATTTTCATTTAATAGTATTATGTGTAATATAAGTAAATGGATTAAAAATATTGACGGAAATTTAAATAAAATGATATTATAATTTATTATATATAAATTTATATAAATTTGTAATCATTGAATAATAGATTACATTCATATTGCAAGTAACTAATAGAATAATTGTTCTATGATAATCACTTTATGAATTATCAGTTTTTCTTTCCGAATAAAAATATGAATATAAAAATGAGTTAGATATTTCATATAACATAGGATAGTTATTATAGTATTAACTTTATCATTGACCCTAATTAAATAAAAGTATAGATCTTCATTGATAGAAATATAAATTTATCGATGGTATGATTAGTATTTAGACCTTTGAAAATGAACATTAAATCCTTTAACAATCCGTAAATTAATTTATAAATAAATTGAACTGTAAAGTTCGTATTTTTGTCTAAAATATTAAATAATTAATTTTACTGAGTTAGATTATAATGGCCTAGAAAATCATAGTATTATATGACGTCAATAATATTATTCATTATAGATATACATATTAGATATGATTAAGAAATATTATTATTAACTTATGATTTACTTTCGATTAAATTATAAATAGTTTTATAAAGATGTTATAAAGTAATTAGTTATTTATTTTATATTATTTTAATATAAATAAGTGTATTATATTTATCAATTATTTAATATATTTATTTTATCATTTATTT